CTTAATCCACAAGCTTTAAGTATGAGCAATAAAAACATTTTTTCTGATAAGTCAGGAATAAGAACATTTTTGCAAAACTAAGTGGAGAAATTGGATCAATTTGATCCCATCCCAGCCCGAAGTCATTGGTTTGGGTTAGGATTGTTGTTAGGAGTTTAGCAACTAGAGCTGGGTTAGGATTGACACCAACCCAGCCCAAGTTGCAGCCCTAACAGACTATCTATCAAGATTAATAATCTGACTGTTGAAGGTGCATCAGCCATATTTGAGAATATACAATCCCACAGCTTCAGATGCAAAAATGAACAAGACTAAGTTGAAGAAAAATGCATCTACAACTGATCTTGCTGGTTTTCAAACCAAACTGTACAAGGTGATTAAGCTATTTACTAGTAGTATTGTTTTCTGATAATAAAATAAAAATACATTATCTTAAAAGGAAAAGGGTTGCAGCTGAAGGGTGCAAAGAAAACACTCAAAACAACCCTAGAAATCCCCTAATACTAGCCCCAAACACAAGATCCTATTTAATGATACCAACAAACATAAAACCAAGAAACAAATAGACTAAAACAAACTCCTCAATGAATAATAAGTAGATAGCTAACCAGTCTTCCCAAAATAGCCTTATGCAATTTAGATTTATTCATCTCTCCTCTTACTTTCTTGCATTCCTCAAAGATATTGCCAAGGATCTAGGAGCCATCCAGAATCTGGAACCATCCTATTAGTTGTAAATCTCCTTTCACCAGAAAGTTGTAGCCCATAGAGTATCCCAATTTCAATCTTTTAATAGAGATGGTAGCTTTTTATAGAGAAGAGTTCACTCTTCTTAACTCTTCTTTACACTTATTTTGCAGATAAGTAAATAGAGAAGGTAGTTTAGGCCATATAGAATCTCCACCACCCATAGAACTTGAATAAACCATCAAGAGTTTTTCCTTGATGTTTTTAAAAACTCCACCAATTCACAAACTACTTAAATTTATTATTTTATGTAGTATAACATAAATGATCTGTTATAAATTGCCAAACCATCTAAAGATGAAAAGAAAAGAAAGATGTAAATTATGTATGACAAATGCATATTTGCATTCATCACGTATGTTCCATGGACTCAGGTTCAGGTGTCATGTATAGGTATATTTTAGGAGTCAGATTCGTCTGACACTCTGGCCAAATCTTGGGAAACAAAGACAAGCTAAAAAAAATCCACCAATTAATAGTAATATGTGAATGCATCATACAATGGACGATAAAGTTTTTCTGAGAAAGAAAACAATTGAAGTTTAGATAAATATGCATTTTCAATCACACAAGTAAGCTATTTTAGATTTAGATACATTCCATATTGAAATCAAAAACAAGTAATCATCAATAGCAGCAGAAGGGAAAAAGAAATCATATTGTCACATGACGTTTAGAAATCCATAATATATTTTTTTGAAAGGTAAGGTAATATTTGTATCAGTTTTGAATATCTGAACGTATACTAGTACACTATAGCTCATGTACAGTGAAAAGATATACAATGAGAAGAAACGAACTCAAAAAATTAAAAATAATAATAATAATGCAGCAACATAAGCCCATGATCGTTTTTGTACAAAAGGATATCATGATCAAAATAAGAAAGCTAATATTTATTAAAAAAAAAGCAAGCTAATGGATGTCTCTAATAGATATTTGGATAGGAAGCCATAAATGGAGAATCCCTACTGCCTCATGAAAAAATTTCTCCCCTTCATAGATGATGCCTTGCTTTTGAAAATTATTGTGTTTCTTTTCCTCTATTAACTCCCAAACATCACAAAGAGCATGATGTGTCATGTGATTTTGTCCCTCTCAAACCATTCATACTCCACCCAGCCAATAACTCACCCATTGATTTGGGACAGCAACAGTTATAATTGGCTAAAGTACAAAAAGTGTGTGTATAAACCTGGACAGAGGACACAAGCTACATGTGAAATAATTATACCCCCTAATGATCAATTTATCTAATTAGACACTTACCCCATACTGCTTGTGCACACCAAAGATGTAACCTTCAAGAGAACAGCAGGAGACCAAATTTCCCTTGAGGGAAACATCTCATAACCCAAGCCATTGAGATGGAAAAATAAAAGCTTGACTGAGGTGTCTGATTTTCACCATGTCCATAACTAAATGTCCTCAGAACCAGGGGATAGAGGGCAGGTACTTATCTTCTGAAGTAGGTTGTCTGTGTCTTCTACTTCCAAATCATTCAAATGCTTCTAAGTTCTAAAGGTAGGAAACCACACTGTTGCTCCTCCAATGACCTCATGTTGGTCAGTTACCAATACCTCTATTTTCAGCATGAAGAAATAACAAGGGGAACAAATCCAACAAAATCCCATCACACCATGGATCTAACCAGAAATAGGCTCTAAACCCACACTAATCTTATATTTCACACCTTAGATGAAATAAGGAATTTTTTTTCAATACCTTTCCAAACCAAGCATCCATTTGTGCTGAAAGGTAATACCAGGGTCCTAAATAAAATTCCCAGTTCTATATTTTCCATGATCATCTGCCCTCATAAACTTTCTAGTTGAGTTCTGAAGTGCCAAAATCATTTCCCCATCAGTGTTGTGTTTACCAACTAAAGATGCTCCTAACCCACCTACTGGTTTTTTTTTTTGGAAAAAGGTAAGGTAATTTATTCAGAATAAAGAGAAAATTACAACAAGGACCAGACCACTAATTCTGCCTGGACCCAAAACAGATTACCAACAAGGTGAAAATCCATATTCAAGCTTCAACTTCAACTTCTAATTTTAACCATATTAGTTGATCATTTATGTTCAGTACTTGTCCAATCAAGAAAACAAACATTGATTTCACAAATCCAACACATGCTCATACACATAAGGCCATAACCATATTATGCCATGTTAAACACAGGTACATAACTACATACTGCATAGGGTAAAATTAAAAGTTTGGGTACGATAAATGCCTGCAACAAGACTGCCTGTTACAGCTGATATTTAAGAGCACTTTTCCAGGTCTAGAATTATCCATTTCTTGATTTTTCATTTTCATCTCTCCAAAATCAAATTTATTGAAAAAATAAGAGGATAGTCAAGAGTTATCATAGTTTCCCTAATCAGGGAATACCATCTGCTGCATGCAATATGTGCTAAGGCCACCTTTTTTGACAAACTACTCTGAATTATGAGTGGATTGAGTGATGTGAATATATACTAGAGATACTATCTAGATAAAAATCCAATTGCCATGCCATCAATTTGACCTTTCATTTCAAATTTACAAAATGAAAGAATAAGTTCACAACCCAAACAGATTCCACTTCTAACTTCGCAGGAGCAGAAATCATCTAAATGAACAATGATGGTTTATCACTAGTAACTCCATGTTCTTGGGAGAACCAAATTAAAAATAAAAATAAAAAAAAAATCAGCACCCAAGCTGTGAAGCACTGAGAGAAATCCCCATATGACTCACAAAAAGAGATCCAGTTTCCCATCCTTGAAAGCTACTCTCTTGCCACCATATGCATGAGGCAAAACCTACTTGAAGTTACTTGGCAATATTAAGCTTTTTTAGATAACCAACAATATCTGTAATTTTTTTTGATATATCAAACATAACCATATATACTTGCACATATACATAACTATATATGTGGCAGGTACACCACTGACACACACACACAACCAACAGGATGCAATAGATCATTTTGAAAACTATGTAGTTAAGACTCCTGATAAAATCATGGTGCAAATATACCTGTTTACTTAACAGTGCTCTCAATGCAACAAAGTGATGACTAGTCTGTTTTGGCCTCTCTAGGTGATATGGTGGTGACTGCTAATCAGTGCCTAAGAGGCTAAGATGATTTTTTTTTTTATATAAATGAGGCTAAGATGATTTTTTTTATGAACAATAGTACATTTTATTGATTCATAAGCTGATTTAGAGTTGTGAATTCATACAACATCCGAGGGAGAGGCGCGAGCTGCAGCCCCTCCTTGAATCTTACAAGTAAACTAGGAAAGAAATTTAAGAGGCTAAGATGATTAGTCAACCACAAAAAGATATGTTCTAAATTTAAGATATTGATGCAATCTTATATCTATTTCTGTATAAAGAAAATATGACAGTATGAAACTTCAGATCTCTTATCTTTTCTGTCCACTAGTAATAGCACATGCAATGCACATACCTTCCCACTTGCATCAAGTAATATAGACTTCAATATGCTAAGATAGAACAAAATAAAGCATATAGTTTACAATCTTCATTTTGCAAACATAAAAGGGAAGGATACAAGACTGGCATAGAAAGTAATAGTCTTTGTTTTTCAAACAAGGAGAGCAACCTTGACTAGTCAGTGCTTTGATAGAAGTGCTGTTTAATATAAAGTTCTTACTTTTTATGCGAAATAAAAAGAGAAAAAGATGACCCCAGATTGTATAGAGCCCATAAGCATTCTAAATTTCTAATATCAAATCTATTCTAGACCATGAGTATAGGTAATTCCATGCTCTTAAGAAAAACGAAAAGCAAACTGACAAATTATCAGTTTATTCCAAAGCCCCCATGAAATTTTTCAAATTTCAGGGTCCCAAGTAAACTAGCAACATTACACACAATTTCATCCAGTTTACATTCTCATTGAGAATCTTTTATTCAGATGATATATGCTGAAACAGAAAAGCAAGCACATACAAAGATTAAAAGAAATGCAAGCTAAAGCATATTATATAATAAGTATGTGCTTTTTTATATTTGGCGCCACACACCACTAATACCCCCCCCCTTCGATACCAACGAGCCACCCCTTGGTTGGTATAATAAGTATGTGCTTGAATTAGAATCACCCATTACAAATGTTACCACAAACACAACCATTGAGTATAATGTTTTTTTATCAATAACAGAAACTTTCATTAATAAATAATGGAACCATTGAGTATAATGTTCACAAACAGACTAGTTAAATATACCTCTCTTGAAGAAGAAACCCCACGAATAAGTCGACGTATAGCATATCTCAAAGAAGGAGCACAGTCATTCAACCCATCATCCTTCTCGGCTTCTAACTGCAAACCACCTTCATCAGCTCCCTTTTTGCCAAGATTCTCATACACCTTCTGAACTTCACTTAACTCTGTTACCAATGCTTCAGCTGCTGCTTCTCTTACTGAGGAATCAGCAGATGCCAAGTCTCTAAAAACACTAATATGGAACTCAGGAAGTAGCCCATTACTCAATGAAGAAGACAAAGGAGGTTGCTGGGGCCCATCAGAATTGGGACCTTCAGCAGGTATCAAGTCTTTAGCCTTAGGCCTCTCAGCATCATTCCTGTGCCTCTCTTTGTCCGATGCTTTCCTTCTCTTCCTTCTCTCCATAGGTTTAATAGAACCAGTGATGAGAGAAGGAGCATCAGACCCATCTACCCTTTCTTCCTCTGGTTTCTCCTTCTTCGATTTTTTGGCAAATTCTGAATTAATTTTACCAATGACAGTGTCAACTTGATCCTCCACTCCATCCGCAGGGGCCAAAGTTCTTTTCTTCCCGGCCATGGCCTTTGTAGCAGTGAATTTTTCGTTCAGGCCTTCCTCCTAAAATCCAAAAACGCCTGTAAAGAAAGAGAACAAATGGGTTATTTGATGCTGGTCGCCTTCAAATACATTCATTCTCAGGAATAGCCACCACAAGCAGAAATGAAGGGGAAAAAGGAAAAGGAAATTTCGTTCTTAGGAGATGCTAGGTTTGCCTCTAAGTGTACGTGAAATGTAAATAGTTTTTTATTCATTCCAATATCTTGGGGTACTAAGCTGCCTTAATAAGAAAATTATTGCAATAGGAAGAGACTATTTCCTCATGTTGTAATCTGATAGTTTTGGAGACAACATTTTGTAGCTCTACAAGTTATGAAATGCCGAAATGTATATTGTGTGAGAGAATCAAGGAACAGTATACACTGACAATTGGACATACAAGTGGGGTGAAAAATATTATTGCACTTAGTTATTGGAATTTTATTGTTTTTTAATACTAACAGATAGTCTTTCGTGACAATAAAATAGGATGATCTATCTGGTCATATAATCTCAAGACTTTAAAATAAAAAATAAAAACGATGTTACCATAGAAAGGCTTTTTTTACTTTTTTTTCTGCCGAAAAAGACAGAAAAACGAGAAAATTCCTCGTAATATATTATGTGAATAATCTGGATATCAAAAACACAGAAATAGATCACTTTTAAATCTATTTTATAACATAAAAAATATCTGTAAACGTGCATCTCTTGTATCTGATTTTTCTTGAAGCTCTTCCCTTCTCCTCCAATGCCACCTTACCGATTACAGATCTGATTTTACGTTAAGTTTTTCCCTTCTCCTCCGTGCCATCTTCTCGGTTTGGCTGACTGAAGAAGCACAAAGAAAGAAGGGAGAGTGCCAATAACATCTAGGGTTATTAATAAAATTTTGATTGAATGAAAAAAATAATAAAAAAGAACCAAGTCAGTGTCCAAAGAACAGAAGACAGATATGGAGAGTGCCAAAAAATCACCTTGTATAATATTATTGAAGGATGCACAGTGGACAGTGCACAGAATTGATGGCCAGCGGTGAGATAGGAAACTTCGGGGTGAACAATCGATCCAAAAACCTAATATAAACCTGCAAGTCCTATTGTTCACTACTACCTATCAAAGAAAAAGGTCTTTTTGTTCACTACCCTCAGAGGAGGGGTAGAAAGAACGGCCTCCGCTTACTGCCAGTATCACTGTCACTGTCACTGTCACCTGAATGCCATTACCGCTGCTATACCAAACCAGACGGAGGAGCAGGAAGGATGAGAAAGCGGAGGCCCCAGCGGGAAAGAGAGAGGGTTTACTGAGGTTCTGTGTAAAAACGTAACGTGGTTTCGTATGTTATTAGGGCCGATTGTCCAAAGAACAGCAGCCGCCCCGGCTCAATGCTGAAGTCCTATCGGTTTTGTGAGGTTGCACAGTATCCATTTCTCCTGCTAGGGATGCCAACAAGTCAGGTTCCATGCGAATCTTATTTGACCCGAAACCGGCTCTACCCGATAATGTTCCCGGATCCGATTAAACAATGGATCCGTTTGATTCGTAGCCAGAATCAGAATGGTCTATTCTCATAGTCTGCTTGGTTTAGACAAAAATGAGAATAAAAATTTGAATCAGCATGAATGAAATTTCATGTAGATATGACTATTTCCTCAAATTAGGGAAGGTAGGAATGGGAATGAGATTCTAATTCCACCTAACTAAACCGTTGAAATCGGAATACCAATTCCAAACCCTTATTCCTGTGAACCAAACGGGGCCAAAAAGGACATAAACATAAACAGCAATTACAACCTCCACCCGTATGGCCCGTGCCTTCTTCAAAACCTACATTTGATCACAATTTTTAGTCAACTTTTTAGTTAGAATCCACCCTTTTCTACATACGAAAATGCAAAACCCCAATACCCTACCTTACTCCCCCATGGTGGAGCAGGTTAAGTCTATAATCTACATCTAATTACATATCTTATATATAAAGAATGAACAAATAAAATAATCTATATTTATATATACATGTGTGGATGTACAGTGAAAATTATTTTGGATTGAAATTGTCATTTATTTATTTATCTAAGAAAGGATATAAAAGTCATTTTATTACAGATTTAATGTCAGTTTTTATGGCTACTAAAATGCCCATATTTGTATATCTAGTCCATCTCTAATTATAAAGGTTGGAAATGTAACTTTAATTATTACTTTCCACTTCATTTAATCATCTCTCATTAATTCTTATACTTAAAGAATTAATTCTCATTTTTCTCTTATTACATTTATATTAATTAGATATATGTCAATATTTTTAATAATATAAACCCATATTTTTAAAATTGACTTAAAAACAAAACCATTTTAAAATTGACTTAAGGAATTTATGATATTTTTATTAATAAAATTAAAAAATTAAGTGTAATAAACAAGAAATAATTTTATTAATGATGAAAATGAAATACATAATTTAGAAACAACCAAAAATGAAATTATTTTACTGTTTGGCAAATATCAATAGTTCAACTTTCGGATCAAATGTGTTAACTTTTAATGTCATAAATAATTAATAAAATTAATAAAATATAAAAATACAAAAATAAAAAAATATATGCAAGAAAAAACATTTAAGCACATGTATACTATCATATATTTATCATATTAAACAAAAAATTAGTGTAATATATCATATGCACAAAAATACAAAAGATTGTTGAAAAAAATGAACACATTTATATTTTTATATTTACACTACTATTAAAAATAATAAGATTGTGTAACTTTCTTTTTACTAAAATACTCACTTTTGAATTTAGTCCCTATTTAATTGTGGGGTTTAAATTGTAAATTGAATTATTACTTTTGATCTCATTCAATTCCCTTTATTTAAACATTACATTTTTTTGATAAATGAACAAAAGAAAAAGATAAACCGAAAAGATAAAACATTACAAGGAATAGTCTAGGAAAGCAAGTAAGCCTATTAATGATATTTGAAATTTCACAAATTGATCTAATTACCACATATTTGGATGAGGTGTTTATGTAACCATATTTGAATTTTGCAATCTACGTTTGATTAATAATAAAAAGCAAAAAATATAAAATACATAAAGTTTATACAAAATTTTGAATACATTATTATTATAATTATCATCATCTAGAGTTGTCACATGCAAAATATGTGCACACTTAATAGTATGAACAAACATCAAGATTTCCAATTATTTTTATTTGATTGAAACATATAAAAATATAAAAAATATCAATTATTTTTCACATATTATTAAATTCAAGACATGTTACACAAGTTGATATGCCTTACACCAACAAAATTAATTATAAGCAATAGGGTTATTTTGTAAATTCAACATACAATATGAGACTATGAGGGTCAGGTTTAGCTAGGACTATCAATAGGTTGTAGGGATGTTAACGGGTAGGGTTCGCCATGGGTTTGCCTCAACCCTAACCCGACATAATCCAACTACACAATGCATAATTTCTGAACCCATCCCACCCCTCTAGGGTCTAACCCAATACTAACCTAACCCAATCCACAACATTTTAATTGTACTTTTTTAACACATTTTGAAAAACCTAAAAAAGTAAAAGCCATGAATTGGGATTTGTTGGATAGGTTTTAAGGTGTCACCTTTTTCCATTAAAAAACAAAAGAAAGCCAAAACTAACAAGTAAAGAAATATTAAACTTTAAGGCTATGGAGTTAAAATTCAAAAAATTACAAAAAATGTTATGTATATATGCAAGGGTATCATGACCTGCAGGGTGGGTCAGTCAAAACTTGAGATCAACCCAAACCCAACTCGAGTCAAATAATCTAAACCCTAACCCAACCCTATAAGGCTGGGTCAAGGTGGATTTACCGTTTAACCCAATCCATTGACATCCTTAACGGGTTGGTTTTACTAACATACCTAAACTAATTGGATGGTTATATTGGTTATGGTCCTATGATTTTGTCCCAAATAATAATTGGGTCAGTTTTGGTTCTTGCTTGTTTAGAGCCAATTTAGACCTATTGATAGATAATAAAATATAAAGGTTCCCTAGTTCTTTTGTAATTTTTATTATATTTTACGCATAAAAGTGTAAGTTTGGTAGATAATATATAAGATAGTTTTGATTAAAATAAAACACTTGATTTATTAATATATAAATAATTTATTATTTTAATGTCATTTTTATTAAGAATGTTTTATAATCAAAAACCAAGTTTTGGATTGTTATTTATTTAAATATTTACAGTTGTTAGTATAATCAGGTCAAACCCGAGTTTCTCAATTGTTAATCATGTGGTTTATGGTTTTGGATGGGACTAAATTGTCTCAAACCATACCCGACTGGTTGACAACGTTTAGCCTAATATATCCTACCTGTTTAGATTGTAAAAAGAAAGAAGAAGAATGGAAATTGCCATCCATACCTAACCCATCCCACATTAACACTCCTATGTTCTAAACTATTTTTTTCTATAAAAAAAATTAAATAACACATATTCTATTTTTTCATTTTCACAAACCTTAAATTCTTAAGCAAATAGCAAATTGTAAAAATACCAATATATTGATCATAAAATACAGTTCAATAATTTACCAGTTTTAACACACACACATAGTACCCAATGTCACATCATGGGTAGCAAAAAAATTATAAAACAACTATTCCTAACTAATACTTTTAAACATTGTTAAAATTTTAATGATAAGGATATCTTGTCAACTGTAAATTAATGATAAATAAATAGATTATATGATGTATTTAATGCAAATGGTTCAAATCTTGATTTAATATACATCAAATATTCCTAAATATACAAACTCTAAAACTTATAATTTGCTGAGTTAAAATTGAACTCTTGCCTTGAAAAATTTATACAGGTTTAATACAGTGAATCAATACGATCATGTTGGAGATGGTAATGACAATGGTAGCTATAGTGTATTGTAGGTAGGTGTGAGTAGCAGGTTCAAGGTTAATTTTGCATTGCTCTTAATGGGGTGCAAATTGAGAGTGAAAATGTATTTGCAAATAAACAAGCAAAGATGTAATTTGGGTGGGCCCAACCCAAGCCCGGATCAACCCATCCCACAATTTTACACAAATTAGGTTAGGATTTTTGGTCCTTGGGATGGGCCTAGGCCCAAAAGTTTAGGCTATTTAATTTTTTGTGTTTGGCTTGAGCCTAATCCTTAGTCTCAGTTTGGAAGGAGTACAAATACAAATTTGTAGAGTACAAAACCTTGTATTTTGTATTGTTTTATATGTATTTGCGTTGTACATATTTATATTTATACTCTTTCCAAACTGAGCCTTAGGTTGCCCAAATCCAACCCAATCTTGCCCCCAATTATATACATGTATATATGTATATATAGAAACATATTTGCATGCATATGCATAGGGCTTAACCTTATATATATATATATATATATATATATATGGTGATTCGTGGAAGCCCTCGACGTCTAGTAAATGGTATCCCGCGAGTGGATAAAATGAGTGAATGGAGTCCAAGCTCTAGTTTACACATACTACGTGCTCCAAATGTGTGGTTGCAGTTTCTACCCTCTAGGAACTCCCCTCTCATGTTTTGTTCAGCAGACATTTCGTGATAGACATTTATCAAAACACCGCCATGTCATCGCCAAACCTCCCTCTCGTGTTTTGTTTAGTAGGCGTTTTGTGATAGTCATTTATCAAAATACCACTATATTATCGCAAAATCAGCATTTAGCCCATCATTGTGATCCATACGCATAGATACTCACAAAAGCTATCATTGATTTATGTGCACGCCTACCATTGGGAGAAACTTCATTTTAACACTTCCCCCAATGGTTAGGCATTTATTCATTATTCTGTTGGTGTGGCGCCTAATGGCACCTAGTGGCGCCTACTTGTCATAAATGGTTAACATTATTACTTTTATCGGTTTTGAAGACAAAACAAATACAAACGTTTAGTTAATAAACGGAAGCTCTACCAAACACATACAAATGTGTTATTCATTAACTCCCCTCTAAACGTACTTGCCTCTTCACTGCTCTCCCTCTCTATGTGATCTTCATTGCATCTCCCCTCTTCTTGTCTTTACGAAAAACTAACTCACCCTCTTTTTATCTTCTTGTTCCATTCTCTTTCCCCTTCTCTTTCTCTTCCTATCTTCACCTCCTTCCCTTTTCTTTTCTCTTACTAAAGGACGTCTCCTTCATCCTACTTACCCTTCATTCACCGTCTTCCCTCTTCATCATAGGATGTCTTTTTCCACCTTCTAACTCACCAGACCCTTTTTTCCCCATCTCTCTCTTTTTGTCTTCACCCCCTCTTTTTTCTTCTCTTACTGAAAGAGGTTCCCTTCAAAACCCTTATGGGAAACCCTATTTGACTACCCCTTATTT